CCTTCTCCAGGGATTGGTCCCTCCTGATAACCTGTCCAAAGTACGTGAGACACAGTCTTGCCGTCCTCGCTTCTAAGGAGCACTCTGGCTGTGAGGAAAACTAGGCTGTTTTTATACTCATAAGGCTTCTGATTATTTTGTTAATTTGGGTGACTGGTTCTAGATTTGAAAAAAAAAAGAAATTGAAGTACTAGTAGTAAAAGAATTACTGTACTTTGTGCCTAACAAATACAAGGGAAAATGTAAAAACTTTAAAAAATTACAAATACTCTTTGTAGGAATAAAACATTAATTTACTCCTTATCTTCCTTCTAAAATCCCTAAACGATGGACTCAGTCTTTAAATTTCCATTTCCGTTCCCTGAATTTCAGTTTCCTTTTCTCTGAACTGTTTATTTCCATTCATTTTCTTTACAGAAATAGTGGCAATTGAACCATTTTACATGACAAATATAGGGTATATTTATATAATATTACAAAGAAAAGTCTAGAAGAAAATAAAATACAGGTATGCCTAAGTAAGTTAAGCGAGGGCTAGTAGTAACAGGAAATTTCAAGACAGGTAGCAGTTAAGTGTTTAAAACAACAACTTTTAACTAGCAGGAAAAGCAGAAGTGAGCCTCATGTGACCATGTTGTTGTTAGGTGCCATCGAGTTGGTTCTGACTCCTAGAGACCCTATGTACAACAGAATCAAACACTTCCTGGTCCTGCAGGATCCTCAGAATCGTTGCTATGTTTGTGTGCCTTCCAACCTGAGGGGCTCATATTCCGACACTATATCAGACAGTGTTCCACTGCTATTCATAAGGTTTTCACTGGCCAGTTTTTTCAGAAGTAGACCTCCAGGTCCTTCTTCCTAGTCTGTCTTAGTCTGGAAGCTCTGTTGAAACCTATCCACCATGGGTGACTATGCTCGTATTTGAAATACCTGTGGCATAGCTTCCAGCATCACAGCAATACACAAGCTTTTCAATTGATTTGGGTAAATATCTAAGAGTTGATTATTGGATTGTACGGTAAGCCTAGATTTAACTTTGTAAGAAACTGCCACACTGTCTTCAAAAGTGGCTGTACCATTTTGAATTCCTACCAGCAATGAGTAAGAGTTCTTGTTATTTGACATCCTCAGCAGCATATGGTGTTGTCAGTGTTTTGGACTTTAGCCATTCTGATAGGTGTGTAGTGGCATTTGATTGTTGTTTTAATTTGAAATTCCCGAATGACATACAATATTGAGCATTTTTTTATATGTTTATTCACCATCTGTATATCTACTTTGAGGAGCCCTGGTGGTGCAGGTGGTTAAATGCACAGCTGCTAACCAAAAGGTTGGCAAGTCAAACCCACCCAGTGGCTCCATGGGAGAAAGACCTGGTGATTTGTTTCTGTAAATATTACATCCAAGAAAACTTTATGGGGCAGTTCTACTGTGTCACATGGGGTCACTATGAGTCAAAATCAACTTGACGGCACCTAACAGCAACATTTTCTTTGGTGAGGCGTCTCTTCAGATCTTTGCCCATTTTTAAATTGTTTGTTTTCTTTGTTGAATTTTAAGAGTTCTTTGTATATCTTGGATACAATTCCTTTATCAGATTTGTGTTTTGCAAATATTTTCTCCCAATTTGTGGCTTGTTTTTTCATTCTCTTAAGCGTGTCGTTTGCAAGGGGGAAAATGCAGAACAGAATTTTTAATTCTCATGGAATCCAGACTTTCTGGAGTCATGGAGGCTGGATGAACTCCCTGAAACTATTGCCCTGAGATAGTCTTTAAACCTTAAACCAAAAATATCCCCCGAAGTCTTTTCAAAACCAAGCAATAGTTTAGCTTCCCTAGTAAAGAACATCTGCCTTGAGCATTGTGCTCTTTTAAGATCTGTCTATATGGGATCAAACTGGCAACAGTAACTCAAAGGATTACTTAGGAACCTTAGGGGGCAGTGAGTTTATGTTAATGGGGGGAAAACTCAGAAAAGGAGGGTGAGGGTTGTTGCATAACTCAAAGAATTTAATCAATGTCACTGAATTTTACATGTAGAAATGGTTGAATTGGTGTATGTTTTGCTGTGTATATTCTCAACAACAACAAAATAAAATAAAGAGTATCTTTTACAGAGCATAAATTTTTAATTTTAATAAAGTCTAGCTTATCAATTTTTTTTAATGAATCATGCTTTTGGTTTTATCTAAAAACTCATTGCCAAGCCCAATGCCACCTAGATTTTCTTCTTTGTTACCTTCTAGATTTGTATAGTTTTGTGTTTTACATTTAGGTCTATGATCCATTTTGAGTTAATTTTTGTGACTGGTGTAAGGTCTGTGTTTATGGATGTCTAATTGTTCCAGCATCATTTGTTGAAAAGATTATTCTTTCTCCATTGAATTACCTTTGCTCCTTTATCAAAGATTGGTTGACTATATTTGTGTGGATCTATTTCTGGGCTTTCTATTTTGTTCCATTGATCTTTTTGGCTGTTCTTTTGCCAGTACCACACTGTCTTGATGACTGTGGCTTAATAGTAAGTCTTGAAGTCAGGTAGTGTCGCTCCTACAATTTTGTTATTCTTCTTCACTATTTTGTTGGCTACTCTGGGGCTTGCCTTTTCATATAAACTTTAGAATCAGTTTGTTGCTATCCACAAAATAACTTGCTGGGATTTCTATTGGGATTGTGTTGAATCTTTAGATCAAGTTGGAAAGAATTGACAGATTAACAATATTGAATCTTCTTATCCATGAACACTATCTCCCCATTTATTTAGATCATCTTTGATTTTATTCATGAGATCTTTGTATTTTTCCTTATACAGATTCTGTATATAATTTGTTAGATTTATAAATATATGTATTTCATTTTGGGGGTACTAATGTAAATGGTATTGTGTTTTAAATTTCAAATTCTAGCTGTTAATTGCTGGTATATAGAAAAGCAATAAACTTTAATACTTTTTTTTAATTTTGGTAAATGTATAGGTAACAGATCATTTGCCATTTCAGCAATCTTCACATGTACAGTTCAGTATGGCATTAAATATGTTCATCATGTTGTTCAACCATTGCCATTAACTGTTCCTGAATGCAATTGACTTTTGTGTATTAACCTTGTATCCTGCAACCTTGCTATAATCGCTCACTAGTTTCAGGAGTTTTTTTTTTTTTTAAATGTTTGTTTTTTGTTTTGCCAAATCTTTGGGATTTTCTACATAAAAAAAATCATGTTGTCTGTGAACAAAGACATTTTTATTTCTTCCTTTTAAATCTGTATACCTTTTGTTTCTGTTTCTTGCCCTAATTCCACCAACTAGGGCTTTCAGTATGATGTTGAATGTAAGTGGTGAGAGGAGGACTTAGTGCATTGTTGCTATTATTATTTTGAACAATCAGTTATCTGTTAGATCAGTTAAGAATAAGAAAAATGTAAGATTTTATTTTACCTTTATTTATTTTTTTCTTGATCACTCTTTCTGTATGTGGATCTGAGTTTTGATCTATTATCATCCTCCTTCTTTCTGAAGAACTTCTTTTAACATTTCTTGCAAAGCAGGCCTAGTGGTGACAAAGTCTCTCAGTTTTTGTTTGTCTGAGTAAGTCTTTATTTCTCCTTCAATTATGAGGGATAATTTTTCTGGATACACAATTCTAGGCTAGTGTTTTTTTTTTCTTTCAACTTTAAATATTTCATTCCCCTTTCTTCTTGCTTGCATGATTTCTGAAGAGAAATCCAATGTAATTCTTGTCCTTTTTTCTCTATAGATAAGGTGCTTTTTCTGGCTTCTTTCAAGATTTTCTCTTTGTCTTTGATTTTCTGCAGTTTGAATATGATATGCCTTGTTGTTGTTGTTAGCTACTCTTGAGTTGACCCCTGACTCGTGGCGATGCTGGGCACAGTGGAACAAAATGCTGCCCCATCTTGCTCCATCCCTATGATCAGTTGCAAATTGGATTATTGCAAGCTATAGAGTTTTTATTGGCTGATTTTTGAAAGTAGATCACTAAGCCTTTCTTTCTAGTCTAAGTCTGGAAGGTCCGTTGGAACTGGTTCAGCATCATAGCAACATGCATGCCTCCACTGACAGATCAGTGATGGCTGTGTATGAGGTGCATTGGCTGGAAATCAAACCTGGGTCTTCCACATAGAAGGCAAGAATTCCACTACTGAATTACCACTGCCCCCATGTCTAGGTGTAGATATTTTGGTATTTATCCTGCTTGGTTTTCTTTGAGCTTCCTGGATCTGTGGTTTTGGTGTCTGTCAATAATTTTGGAACATTCTCAGGCATTGTTACTTCAAATATTTTTTCTTTTTCTTTCTCTTTTCCTTCTCCTTCTGATATTCCCATTACATGTATGTTACACTTTTTCTAACTGTTCCACAGTTCTTGAATATTTTGTTCCTCTTTTTCCCCCAATGTTTTTTTGTCTTTGCTTTTCAGTATAGGAAGTGTTTATTGACATATCTTCAACCTCACTGATTCTTTCTTTGTCTGTGTCCAGTTTACTGATGAGTCCTTCCAAGGCATTCATAATTTCTGTCCCAATGTTTTTATTTTTTGCACTTTATTTTTATTCCTTCTTAGAGTTTCCATCTCTCTGCTTACATTACCCATCTGTTGTTTTGTGTTGTCCAGTTTTTCTATTAGATTCCTTAGCATATTAATTATAGTTATTTTAAATTCTCTATATGATAATTATAAAATCTCTGGCATGTCTGGGTCTTGTTCTGAAGCTTACTGTCTCTTCAGACTGTATTTTAGCATACTTTTTAATTTTTTGTTGAAGGCCAGACTTGATGTGTCAGATAAAAGGAACTGAGGTGCCTCAGAGTCCCCATCTTTAAAAAGAGGGAGCATCCTACAGCTTTTTGTCTTGCCTAGGTGCAGTAGTAGTGATGCACAGATGTATAGAATATGGTGGAAGCCAGTTAGTGTAAGGAGTAGGAGGAGAAAATGACAGCTTGGGTGTTGGATCTAACTTTGTATGTCTTCTCTCCCCTGGCAGCTTACCCAGCCAGCAGCTTGTTGCCGGAGACAGCTATGGTAGAAACTAATGAAGAACAAACTCTTGTGTGCAAGACAAGTGGGTTCTACCCAGAATCCATTAACATAACATGGCAGAAGTGGACCCAAAAGTTTACTCAGTTCATGGAGATTTCTGAGGGCATCACCACTGGTCCCACAATCAAGAACAATGATGGCACATTTAATATCACTAGCTTCTTGAAGCTAAAGCCCACTGTGGAAGACAGTGGGAATGTCTATCAGTGTGTGGTATGGCACAAACTCTTGTCCAGCTCCTTGAGGTTCAACTCCACCGTGATCGTGAACAGTAAGCATCCTCCTGGACATTTCCCCTGCTCTTCTCCTTGAGGGGGCATAATGTAAAAATTTGGTTCCCAGAGAGTTTAAGGTCTTTGCTGGGAGCCAGTGGGAAAGACAGGTTAGATTAGAGGGACCAGAGATGGCGTCTGGCCTAGCTTAGCCCCAAAGTTAGCAGTCCAAACCTAGGACCCTAAGCCAGACCACATAGTCTGGTGAGTGGAGAGTGGTGACAATAGTCCTCAGGAAGAAACAGGGCTACTTGTGAGCTCATGGCTGCTTCAGAGTTTTGGGTGGCCCATATGGCTTGGAGTGGGAAGCTTGCCAGCTGCCAGAGACACAGGAACAGGGTTTTTGCCCATGTCCCCTGAGGATAATGGGCTGTCAGGGACCAGGGACCCAGCCTTGCCTGCAGTCATCTGTGTCTACTGCAAATTGGTGGCTGGTAGAGGCTGAATCAGAAGTCCTGTCTTATAGCCTGTGTCCCAAAGTGGGGGAAGCCATAGTAAGGTGTCCTGCAGGACTTTCCCTACTGGATCCTTAGCTTAGGACAACGCAACTCACTGCAGACACCCTCCTGTGGTGGGTGGGGTTTCACTGGGCTCATATCCTGGTTTCCCTGGTCATGGCTTTGGTCCAGGGTGGGAATGATCCTGCTGGCCAAATGCATCTGCCTGGAGCTGAGAGGAATAGGAAAGGCAGGGGCTGACCTGAGTCCCTGGAAAATGTAATCTGAGTCTGCCTGATAGGGCTTGGGTTTGTCCTGGAGGGAGAAAGGGATTGCTCTTGGAAGTAAGGGGTAGGAATGTGTGTGGATTGTATGTTCAGGGGTTTGTACAGGGTATGTGTGAGGAATGGGGCATATGAAATTGGAATATGCTTTGTGTGTATGTTGTTGTCAGGTGCCACTGAGTCAGTTCCAACTCATAGCGGCCCTATGTACAACAGAACGAAACACTGCCTGGTCCTGCGCCATGCCCACAGTTATTATTATGCTTGAGCCCATTGTTGCAGCCACTGTGTTTATCCATCATGTTGAGGGTCTTCCTCTTTTTCACCACTCTCTACTTTATCAAGCATGATGTCCTTCTCAGGGACTGATCCCTCCTGACAGCACGTCCAAAGTATGTAAGAATAGTCTCTCCATCCTTGCTTCTAAGGAATATTCTGGTTGTACTTCTTCCAGGACAGATTTGTTCATTCTTTTGTCAGTCCATGGTATATTCAGTATTCTTCGCCAATACCACAATTCAAAGGTGTCAATTCTTCTTTGGTCTTCCTTATTCACTGTCCAGCTTTCGCATGCATATGAGGCGATTGAAAATATCATGGCTTGAGTAAGGCACACCTTAGTCTTCAAGGTGACATCTTTGTTTTTCAACACTTTAAAGAGGTCTTTTGCAGCAGATTTTCCCAATGCAATGTGTCTTTTGATTTCTTTACTGCTGCTTCCATGAGTATTGATTGTAGATCCAAGTAAAATGAAATCCTTGACAACATCAATCTTGTCTCCATTAATCATGATGTTGCTTATTGGTCCATATTTAGTTATCTAGTGCTGCTATAACAGAAATACCACAAGTGGATGGCTTTAACAAAGAGAAATTTCTTTACTCACAGTCTAGTAGGCTAAAAGTCCAAATTCAGGGCCTCAGCTCCGGGGGAAGACTTTCTCTCTCTGTCGGCTCTGGAGGAAGGTCCTTCTCATCAATCTTCCCCTGGCCAAGGAGCTTCTCAGGTGCAGGGACCCCAGGTCCAAAGGGCACTACAGGGAAACTCTCTTTACATTGGATCAGGGATGTGACCTTAGTAAGGGTGTTATGCAATCCCACCATAATCCTCTTTAACATAAAATTACAATCACAAAATGGAGGAAAACCACACAATACTGGGAATCATGGCCCACCCAGATTGATACATACATTTTTGGGGGGACATAATTCAACCCATGACAGTCCAGTTGTGAGGATTTTTGTTTTCTTTATGTTGAGGTGTAATCCGTACTGAAGGCTGTGTTCTTTGATCTTCATCAGTAAGTGCTTCAAGTCCTCTTCACTTTCAGCAAGCAAGGTTGTGTCATCTGCCTAACACAGATTGTTAATGAGTCTTCCTCCAATCCTGACGCCCTGTTCTTCGTATAGTCCAGCTTCTCAGATTATTTGCTCAGCATACAGATTGAATAGATATGGTGAAAGGAGACAACTCTGACGCACACCTTTCCTGACTTTAAACCACACAGTATCCCCTTGTTCTGTCTGAACAACTGCCTTTTGATCTATGTATAGGTTCCTCATGAGCACAATTAAGTGTTCTGGAATTCCCATTCTTCTCAGTGTTATCCTTAATTTGTTATGATCTACACAGTCAAATGCCTTTTCATAGTCAATAAAACACAAGTAAATACATTAATGATATTGTTTGATAATTTCCACATTTGGCTGGATCACCTTTCTTGGGAATAGGCGTAAATATGGATCTCTTCCAGTCGGTTGGACAGGTAGCTGTCTTCCAAATTTCTTGGCATAGACAAGTGAGCACTTCCAGGGCTGCATCCATTTATTGAAACATCTCAGTTGATATTCCGTCAATTCCTGGAGCCTTGTTTTTCACCAGTGTTTTCAGTGCAGCTTAGACTTCTTTGTTCAGTATCATCAGTTCCTGATCATATGCTACCTCTTGAAATGATTGAACGTTGACAGATTCTTTTTGGTATAGTGACTCTGTGTAGTCCTTCCATCTTCTTTTGATGCTTCCTGTGCCATTTAATATTTTCCCCATAGAAGCCTTTGCTATTGCAACTTGAGGCTTGAATTTTGTCTTCAGTTCTTTCAGCTTCAGAAATGCCAAGCGTGTTTTTCCCTTTTGGTTTTCTATTTCCAGGTCTTTGCACATGTCATTATAATACTTTGTCTTCTTGAACTGCCCTTTGAAATCTTCTCTTCAGTTATTTTACTTCATCATTTCTTCCTTTTGCTTTAGCTACTCGACATTCAAGAGCAAGTTTGAGAGTCTCTTCTGACATCCATTTTGTTCTTTTCTTTCTTTCCTGTCTTTTTTATGACCTCTTGCTTTCTTCATATATGATGTCCTTGATGTCATTCCACAACTCGTCTGGTCTTCGGTCATTAGTATTCAGAATGTCAAATCTATTCTTGAGATGGTCTCTAAATTCAGGTGGGATATGCTCAAGATCATACTTTGTCTCTCGTGGACTTGTTCTAATTTTCTTCAGTTTCAGCTTGAACTTGCATATGAGCAATTGATGGTCTATTTCACAGTCAGCCCCTGGCCTTGTTCTGACGGATGATATTGAGCTTTTCCATCGTCTCTTTCCACAGATGTAGTTGATTTGATTCCTGTGTATTCCTCTTCAAGTTGTCATTCCCAGCATAGTAGACCATATCATTGTCTGATTCAAAATGGCCAATACTAGTCCATTTCAGCTCACTAATGCATAGGATATCGATGTTTATGTGTTCCATTTCATTTTTGACAATTTCCAGTTTTCCTAGAATCATACTTCATACATTCCACATTCCGATTATTAATAGATGTTTGCTGCTGTTTCTTCTCATTTTGAGTCATGCCACATCAGCAAATGAAGGTCCTGAAAGCTTGACTCCATTCACAACATTAAGGTCGACTCTACTTTGAGGAGGTAGCTCTTCCCCAGTCATCTTTTGAGTGTCTTCCAAGCTGAGGGGCTCATTTTCTGGCACTATATCAGACAGTGTTCCACTGTTATTCATAAGGTTTTCACTGGTTAATTCTTTTCAGAAGTAGACTGCCAGGTCCCTCTTCCTAGTCTGTCTTAGTCTGGAAGCTCAGCTGAAACCTGTCTGCCATGGGTGACCCTGCGGTATCTGAATACTGGTGGCATAGCTTTTATCATCACAGCAACATGCAAGCCCCCACAGTAAGACAAACTGACAGACATGTGGGGGTTGTGTGTATAGTATGAGGCATATGTTTGGGTGTTATGTATATAAGTGGTATAAGATGGTGTAGTAGGATGTGTATGGCGTGTGTGTAGTATGTGGTGTTGGATGTTGTAGTGTATTTCTTGTATTAAACATAGTCTTTATGTGTGGAGGTGTATGGGGCAGGAATGGACAGGGAAAATAATACACAGCCACAGAGATCCTAGCAGTGGCTGTATGGTCTCTTTGGCCCCTGCCAGTATGTTTCCTCTTAACGTTCTTCTCCTTTTTCTCTTTGCAGAGTCTGAGAAGAATTACTTTTGGGTTGGTGGTGTCTTTGCTGTACTTGTATTTATTTTTGTATTTATATTTCTCAAGAAAAGGTAAGGAGCTCCCAAGTAAATTTCAGCCCTGTATCTTGGAGTTGACACTAAGAATTCAGGGATCATAACCAGTGGATGTTGTTGGAGAGATGAGACCTTGGGGGAGTTCTCAGGATTGATGCTGGGATATTGTAAATGTGGTGTGTAGCTTTTTCTGATGTTGCATTGGGCAAGAACTCTCCAGCTGATCTTTGTAAAATGCCTCCCTTACTTCTCCATAATATGCAAGTAAAAGTAACAGTAAGTCTAACTCTGAACTGAACCTGAGCTTACTAGTTCAGACCAGGCCTTTGAACTATGTATGGGCTGTATTGTTCTCATTCACACATATGGAAACCATGGGTCAGAGAGGGAAAGCATTTTATAACTCCTGGCTCCCAGTCAAGATTCCTTCCCCCCAGTTGCTCATATTTTGTTAATAACTCAATGGGATAAACCAAAGTTTATTGATTTGAGCAAGAATTTCTACCCTTGCTTGATACTTCCAAACTAAATATGTAATCTGCAGTTTATCCTTGATTATGGCTCATACAGCTAATAAAACAGCTCATGCTTTAGAGGTCCAAGAGATCAGTATAAATATGTTGGTTAAAATGCTTCTAGAAAATAAAATTGCCTTCAATTATTCACAGGCCTGCCAAGGCGGAACCTGAGCAATGGCTAGTACATCTCTTTGTAAATGCTTTAAGAAACATGGAATAATCAATTAATTAGGGGGAAAAAGGCTGTTTGTTTAGCTAAAATTGGCCAGCTGATTTATGGAACTTATTCTCATGGTTGGACATAGGTAATAAGAAAACTGGATAAAAAGTGGCTTTCAAATGTTTCTTGTAATATTTGTGATTGTTCTCATATTTCTTACCTTTTTGTTTCTGATATTCAGATACTGCCATGTGTGTCAAACATCCAAAAATAGTATTATTTGAAAAAGACACTAAAGCTTCATGATCAGCTTGGGTCCTGTGGTGGATTGCAGTGACTGTTCCATGTCCACGTCCTTTGCCATGTAACTTTTCAGTGTTCTCCAACCATGGACTGCCCTTGACACAGGGTTCAACACTGTGACTTACTTTGGCCAATAGAATGAGATGGAAATGAAGGTGTGTCAGTTCCACGTCTAGGACGCAAGAGGCCTTGTCTATTTCCACTTGCTATCTCTTGTGCTTCTGACGTTACCAAGAGAAGGACCTGTCCAGGCTAGCCCGCTAGAGGATGAGAGACACATGAAGCAGAGCCAAATCATCCCAGTTGCTCTGACTGAGTCCAGCCTAGGTCAACTGACAGCCATCCAACTCCTAGACATGTGAACAAAGCTAGCTGAGATCAGCAGTGCCACCAGAGCCAACTCTCAATGTGTGAGAAACACTTATTTTTTTAAAAAAGCCACTGTGTTTTAGGTTATTTTGTTACATAGCAAGAGCTAACTGATACAGCTTCTCAAGGAGCAGAGTTTTGACCAAAAGTCATGAAAGTGTGCTGCTTAGATCTCCCTTCAAGAGAGAACCTGCTATAAAGAGTCATGTTGTCAGCCAATGTGCTCCAGCATCTCTGGGATCTGCTGCAGTATTTGAACCAGTGACGTGCTCTCCCTGGAAAACTCCAGACAATGACAAAGCAAGGAAGGGGTCTTTGCTTTGATAAGGACTTAATATCCAGAATATGTGAAGAACTCCTACAACTTAATGACAAAAAGACAAACAACCCAGTCAAAAAATGGGCAAAGGACTTGAGTAGATATTTCACCAAAGAAGATAAACAAATGGCTAATGAGCACATGAAGAGATGCTCAACATCATTAGTTATCGTTAAGTGCCATTGAGTTGGTTCTGACTCATAGCGACCCTGTGTACAATAGAATGAAACACTGCCCAGTCCTGTGCCATCTTCACAGTCATTGCTATGTTTGAGCCCATTGTTGCAGCCACTGTGTCAATCCATCTCATCAAGGGTCTTTCTCTTTTTCGCTGACCCTCTACTTTACCAGGCATGATGTCTCTGTCCAGGGACTGGTCTCTCCTAATAACATGTCTGAAGTAAGTGAGACCAAGTCTCGCCATCCTCGCTTCCAAGGAGTACTCTGGCTGTACTTCTTCCAAGACAGATTTATTTGTTCTTTTGGCAGTCCATGGTAATATTCAATATTCTTCACCAACATCATAATTCAAAGGCATCAGTTCTTGTTTGATCTTCCTTATACATGGTCCAGCCTTTGCATGCACATGAGGCAATTGAAAATACCATGGCTTGGGTCAGGTGCACCTTAGTCTTCAAAGTGACATCTTTACTTTTCAACACTTTAAAGAGGTCTTTTTCAGCAGAGTTGCCCAATACGTCATTTGATTTTTTTTTTTTTTTTGTACTTTAGATGAAGGTTTACAGAATAAACTAGTTTCTCATCAAACAATTAGTACATATGTTGTTTTTTGACATTGGTTACCAACCCCACAACATGTCTACACTCTCCCTTCTCGACCTTGGATTCCCTATTACCAGCTTTCCTGTCCCCTCATGCCTCCTAGTCCTTGCCCTTGGGCTAGTGTGCCCCTTTAGTCTTGTTTTGTTTTATGGGCCTATCTAATCTTTGGCTGAAGGTTGAACCTCAGGAGTGACTTCTTTACTAAGCTAAAAGGGTATCCGGGGGCCATACTCTTGGGGTTTCTCCAGTCTCTGTCAGGCCAGTAAGTCTGGTCTTTTTTTGAGTTAGACTTTTGTTGTACATTTTTCTCCAGCTCTGTCCAGGACCCTCTATTGTGATCCCTGTCAAAGCAGTCGGTGGTGGTAGCCGGGCATCATCTAGTTGTGTTGACTGAGTCTAGTGGAGGCTGTGGTGGTTGTGGTCCATTAGTCCTTTGGACTAATTTTTCCCTTGTGTCTTTGGTTTTCTTCATTCTCCCTTGCTCCAGATGGAGTGAGACCAGTGGAGTATCTTAGGTGGCCACTCACAAACTTTTAAGACCCCAGATGCTACTCGCCAGAGTAGAATGTAGAACATTTCTTTATAAACTATGTTATGCCAATAGAGCTAGATGTTCCCTGAGACCACGGTCCCCATGGCCCTTAGCCCAGTAATTAAGTCCCTCATTTGATTTCTTGACTACTGCTTCCATGGGCATTGATTGTGGATCCAAGTAAAATGAAATCCTTGACAACTTCAATCTTTTCTCTGTTCATCATGATGTTGTTGGTCCAGTTGTGAGGATTTTTGTTTTCTTTATGTTGTATAATCCATACTGAAGGCTATATGGAATCTTTGATCTTCATCAGTCAGTGCTTCAAGTCCTCTTTGCTTTCAGCAAGCAAGGTTGTGTCATCTGCATATGACAGGTTATTAATTAGTCTTCCACCAATCCTGATGCTGCAATCTTCATAGTCCACCTTCTCAGATTATTTGCTCAGCATACAGATTGAATCAGTATGGTGAAAAGATACAATCCTGACACACACCTTTCCTGATATCCCCTTGTGCTGTTTGAATGACTGCCTCTTGGTCTATGTACAGGTTCCTCATGAGCACAATTAAGTCTTCTGGAATTCCCACTCTTCACTATGTTATCCATTATTTGTTAAGTTGTACACAGTCAAATGCCTTTGCATAGTCAATAAAACACAGGTAAGCACCTTTCTGGTATTCTCTGCCTCCAGCCAAGATCCATCTGACATCAGCAATGATATCCCTTGTTCCACATCCTCTTCTGAATCCAGCTTGAATTTCTGGCAGTTACTTGTCAATGTACTGCTGCAACTATTTTTTAATTATCTTTAGCAAAATTTTACTTTTGTGAGATATTAATGATATTGTTCAATAATTTCTGCATTCTGTTGGATCACCTTTCTTTGGAATGGGCACAAACATGGATCTCTTCCAGTCAGTTGGCCAGATAGCTGTTTTCCAAGTTTCTTGGGATAAACGAGTGAGTACCTCCTGCATTGCATTCATTTGTTGAAACATCTCAATTGGTATTCCATCAAATCCTGGAGCCTTGTTTTTTGCCAATGGCTTCAGTGCAGCTTGGACTTCTTCCTTCAATACCATTGGTTCTTGATCATATGCTACCTCCTGAAGTGGTTGATCATGATCCAGTTCTTTTTGGTGCAGTGACTCTGTGTATTAGTTATTAGAGAGATGCAAATCAAAACTATAATGAGATACTACTTCATCCTCAGCAGGATGTCTATAATAAAAACAGAAAACAGCAAGTTTTGACAAGAATGTAGAGAAATTGGAACCTTCATCCATTGCTGGTGGGATTCAAAATGGTGCAGCTGCTATAGAAAACAGTTTGGTGGTTCCTCAAAAAGTTAAACATAGAACTACCATATGAACCAGCAATTCCACTCCTAGGTATATATCCCAAAGAATTGAAAGTAGGAACATAAGCAGAAACTTGTACACCAGTGTTCATTGCAGCAGTATTCACAATAGCCAAAATGTGGAAACAACCTAAATGTCATCAATAAATGAATAAATAAACAAAATGTGGTATATATATGTGTGTATAATGGGATATTATTCAGCCATAAAGAGAAGTGAAGTCCTGATACATGCTACAACATGGATGAATCTTGAAAACATTCTGCTGAGTAAAGTAACTCATTTGCAAAAGGATAATGTATGATTCCACTGATAAGAGCTATCTAGAATAGGCATATGTATAGAGACCAAAGTTTATTAGTGACTATTCAGAAGACATACCTGGCGATCTGCTTCCGAAAGGTCACAGCCTTGAAAACCCTATGGAGCACGGTTCTACCGTGCACACATGGGGTTGCTCATGAGTTGGAATAGAATCTATGGCCACTAACAACAAAAACACCACTATGGGTGGAAGGAAAGGGAAGAGGGAGAGTCATTCCTTAGGGGGCACTGAGTTTCTTTCTGTTAATGGTGATAGAATAATTTGGAAATGGATAGTGGTGGTGGTTGTACAACATGGTAAACGTAATCAATGTCACTGAATTTTACATGTAAAAGATGTTGAATTGGCAAATTTTTTTTTTAAATGT